ATTGGATTGTGAGATCCCACATCGGTTGGAGAGGAGAACGAAACATTCTTTACAAGGGTGTGGAAACTTCTCCCTAGCAGACGGATTTTAAAAATCTTGAGGAAAAGCCCAAAAGGACAATATTTGCTAGCGGCGGGCTTGAGCTGTTACATTTTCCTTCTCCAGTTTCCTTCCGGTTACACTTCTATTAGAATCTAGAATTTTCTGCAACAATTGTGATAAGGAAAAATTTTCTTGCCTTTCAGGATTGGATATAGCATGATTTCAGATGCAGAGAAAAATGGTCTTATCACTCCGGGGGAGGTTAGCAATTCCAAATGGTCTTTAACATCTGATTGTAACTGTGTCTGATATGCACACTGGATGGCATTTTCGAGACATTGTTACAGCTCTTACTTTGATTACGCATAGGACTATTGGCATTATAAATTTGTCTGTTCTTTTTCCGGGGGGTGGCTGATTTACTTTTCCCCCCTTCTATAGAGTGTCTTGATCGAACCTACCAGTGGTAATACTGGTATAGGCTTGGCCTTCATTGCTGCTGCCAAGGGTTACAGGCTTATAATAACCATGCCTGCATCAATGAGTCTTGAAAGAAGAACCATTCTTCGAGCTTTTGGTGCTGAACTGGTTCTCACAGATCCAGCTCGAGGGATGAAAGGAGCAGTTCAGAAGGCCGAAGAGATAAGAGACAAGACACCTAATTCTTACATCCTTCAGCAATTTGAAAACCCTGCTAACCCGAAGGTATCCTCTGAGTTACCTCTGAGTTAATTCAATGTGGGACATCATTTTCTGTTTGAGAGATTTATGTTATCTTTTCACGTTTTTTCAGATCCACTATGAGACCACCGGTCCGGAGATCTGGAGTGGCTCAGGTGGGAAGGTTGACGCATTTGTCTCTGGTATAGGGACTGGAGGTACCATGACAGGTACGGGGAAGTACCTCAAAGAACAAAATCCCGACATTAAGGTTTGTTATTCCTTGTCATCAGAACTCTTGTATTGCTGTTATCTGAGACAAGCCGCCTTTTGATGTGTTCTCTCCCCTTCTATGCTTTAGTTATATGGTGTAGAACCTGTTGAAAGTGCAATTCTATCCGGAGGAAAGCCTGGTGAGTCATTCATTATCACGTTGGCCATGTTTCCTACAATGTTTTACTATAATCTTTGCGGTTGCTTCCTTGTCATGTATGTCACGTTCCGGTACATAAACTGGTCATTTTATTTCCACAATGAGCATAAGTCAACGGTAATTGATATGTACTCCTTCCCTTGAGGTCGGAGATTCAAATCACATGCCCCACTTGTCACACTAAAAAAATAAAATCGGTCTTTATGTTATATGGTGTATACCTTTAAGGAGTGTGTATTCTATATGTGAACTTTACAGGGCCACATAAAATCCAAGGAATAGGAGCTGGCTTCATCCCTGGAGTTTTGGATGTCAATTTGATCGATGAAGTTGTTCAAGTAAGCATCAAACATTTAATAAATTCTTTCAATAGACATTGGTAGTGCGTGACAATGCCTCAAATGGTTTAACTTACTGGCACATATTTCTCTAATTTTTATACGATGAGTGAGAGTAACCGCGAGATCTCACATCGGTTGGAGAAGGGAACGAAGCATTCTTTATAAGGGTGTGGAAACCTCTCCCTAGCAGACACGTTTTAAAAACTTTGAGGGAAAGCCCAAATAGGACAATATTTGCTAGCGGTAGGTTTAGGCTGTTACAGTAACCTCTCTCTATATTCATCTTTTTCTCTCCCGATCGAAATATTTGCATGCAAGAGAGATCCCAATTCCGTGTATCCGGTTAAGCAAGCCCCACCGCCTCCACCCAGACAAAAAAGGTGAGCATCGGGAGCGAAAGGTTGCTTGACGCGTTAGCGCTGAAATAAGGGCGCTCCCACCCCATTCAATGTAGGACTTCTCAATTCTTGCGATTCCCCCGGCCCCTTTAGCTTATTTTAAAATCAGAGACTCAAAAACGGGGTTCCCTGTCTATCCACAGTTCATTCATTTTATAAATGGACAATAACTTCTCAGAATTTTCTGTCCTTTGATGTTCAACGATTAGTCAGACCTTTAAGCACCTCTCATGCATCACCGAGTTTAATGCTAGAATATATTTGTAGGTATCAAGTGAAGAAGCTATTGAAACTGCAAAGCTGCTTGCATTGAAAGAAGGTCTACTGGTAGGTTGGAGCATAATGGAGATATTTTATTCTATGTTCATCACAATCTCTTGAACCAATCAGGCTTGAGATCTGATTTTCAAAGCTTTCTTCTGGTCTTTCTCTATGCTATGACAACAATGTTTGCATGCAGGTTGGTATATCATCTGGTGCCGCTGCCGCTGCAGCAATTAAGGTTGCAAAGCGACCAGAAAATGCTGGAAAGCTTATTGTTGTAAGTGCTCCTTTTCATAGCTTGAATGGATTCCTCCACTTCTCTTTACCATTGCAAATCTGAAACAGGTGGTGTTCCCGAGTTTCGGAGAACGATACCTCTCAACCGTGCTGTTCGAGTCTGTGAAACGAGAGACTGAGAATATGGTTTTCGAGCCATGAGAGGTTTCGATAATACTTCTCGACTTCAAATGGAGCGAGCCAGTTGACATTCCCTGCAGATATCCCATTAGCAAGGCAAAAAAAGTGAACTTCAGACTGTTATGTTTAGCTTTGGATGTTTTAATTTGAGAACTTGTTTTCTGATTGACTTCTTTCTGTATGGTTTGCTCAGTTTTAGTGTAAGAACACAGATGCAACTGAGAATAAGGACCATTGAATAATGCTTTGAATGAGTAATTTGTTTATGAATAATTGGGTAGAAATGTTATTTGATTTCTATTTTGAAAAATTATATTTGAAATTGTTAAAAAATTATTTTTAAGTGTTGCTCGATAATAAATGTATTTAAAAAATAATTATGAAATTAAATTTAAAAAAATTATCGTACGAGGTCTTTTGGAGAAACCCAAAGTAAAGCCATGAGAGCTTATACTCAAAGTGAAGAATATCATACCATTGTATAGAGTCGTGTTCATAGTCATTTTCGATAGAAAGACAGTTGAGAGTCGTGTTCATTTAACATGGTTACAGAGTCATGCCCTAAACTTAGTCATTTTCAATAGAAAGACAGTCGAGAGTCGTGTTCATCCCTAAACTTAGTCATTTTCAATAAAAAGACAGTCGAACCTTGGTCAGGGAGAGACGTACTTTGTTCAAGGGAAGGTGATGGATGAACTAATTTAGGGAATGATCATGGGTTTATAATCAAATAATAATCCCTCAATTGGTATGAGACATTTTGGAAAGCTCAAAACAGAGTAGACGTATGATATTTTGTGATTCCTAACAAATATATATACTAACAACAAATTCAGAAAAGTTCAATTTAACCGCACCTAGTTTAAGTAAGCTCGTGAACCAATCTAATAAGTAAACTTTTCACTTATGGAACACAATCCAATCCAAATTTGAATTGGGTTGATTGAATTCTTCGAATCATTATGTTTTTTGAACGCCCTTACAATAAAACGAGTGGATTTGAAACTATTTAAAAAAAACAAGGCACTTTTTCAATTTATTGCATTGCATCCCTTGGAGTGGTGGACAAACGTGCATCGTTCTTCTCGAACAATTTATATACGTGCATAGGTTGTTCGGGAAGAAAAACGCCCGTCTATTTGTTCGGAGCTAATTTAAAATTAAAATCGTATAATTTATTTAATATAATAATGAACCGTTGAATTTGAGTGACGCAGTTGATTTTGTTTGTCTTGTATACAAGACAAAAAGAGTGCCGTATTTTTATAAATAACAATATATTTTTTAAACTTAAATAATGATTATAATATATAACAACGTGATGTTCTCATTTGACTTATGGACCTTCTTTTATTACATTCACACACCAATGACCAAGAAATTTCACAAGGTTTTAAATATGATACGAGACATAAACTGTAACGATCCAGATCCATCCTAGCAGATATTGTCTTTTTTGGGGTCAGATATTGTCCTCTTTGAGTTTTCCCTCATTTCTGGGGTATATTGTCCTCTTTGGGTTTTCCCTCATTTATGGGGCTGCTAACCGTTTGGGTTTTCCCTTTCAGGCTTCCACTCAAGGCTTTAAAACGCGTCTGCTAGGGGAAGGAAGGTTTCTCGGGCTGCTAGCCGATATTGTCCTTTTTGGATTTTCCCTTTCGGGCTTGCACTCAAGACTTTAAAACGCGTCTGCTAGGGGAAGGTTTCCACACCCTTATAAATGATGATTTGTTATTCTCTCCAACCAATGTGGGACATCACAATCCACCCCATTCGGGGCCTAGCATCCTCGCTGGCACTCTTTCCTTCCTCCAATCGATGTGGAACCACCCCCAAATCCACTCATTTGGGGCCAGCATCCTTACTGCACACCGCCTTGTGTCTACCCCCTTCGGGGAATAGCAAGAAGGCTGGCACATCCGGTATCTGACTCTGATACCATTTGTAACAACCCAGATTCACCGCTAGCAAATATTGTCCTCTTTGGGCTTCCCCTCAAAGCTTTAAAACACGTCTGCTAGGGGAGGGTTTCCATACCCTTATAAAGGGTGATTTGCTCTCCTCCCAAACCAATGTGAGACATCACATAAACTTTTTGACATAGTCGATAGTACTCTTTATAATCTAAAGCGGTTGCGAGCTGTAGTCTTATTTTTTGGTCGATTGGGTCGGCCCTACCAAAATATTGTCAACCTACAAATCGAACCAAATTTTCGAGTCTCAAATCGAAAATAATCTAAAACCGCTCGAAAATATATATTTATAATATTTTATTTAGGTCAAAATTTGTTTGATTTATGAGGTTAATTTAATGAAATAATTTGGAATTTCTAAATGTAAAGACCTAATTATATATTTAAAAAATGTAATTATAACTGTTTAACTATAAAGAAAAAAATATGACCACCTTTTTCGCACGTACAAAGACAGATGTCCACGTCATTTCCAAGTAATTTCAGAAGCCGTCTTCAAGCCTTATGAGTAGCTACTCGTTGCTCCGTCGAGTCCAGGCTTATGAGCTAAGCAATTGGCTACCGTTAACGGCGGAACTCCGACGATCTAGCTGAGAATCTCGCCTGGATCGAAGGCGGAGCTCCAAGGACAAGCTATAAAGGTATCTGATACTTGGATGCTTGTTGGATTATGTTTCTGGTTTTGCGATCGTCAAAGTTGGTTTTGAGTTTTGTCTGAAAACAGGAGGAAGAGAATGGCGGGAGCGTTAATTGGTGGCGCGGGATTGGGCGTTCCATTTAACGAGCTGGCGGCCATCTTGAAGAAATTTGGCGAAAGGGCGATGAACTTCGATCCTGTTCTCAAGGAGATCCAATCCAAGGTAAATACCATAATTCCTCTGGTTGCGGAAATAGAGGAGCTTAATGAAGCCCTGGAGTATCCAAAAGAAGAATTGGAGAATTTGAAAAAGACATTAGAAGTTGCCAAAAAGCTAATTCCTCGGTGTGTCGGATTGTGGAAGTATAATTATCTAAGGAAGTCAGATTACACAAAGAAGCTGCGTGAGTTGAACTCCGAAATTGGAAGTTTCAGGGACATTTTGTTGATTCAAACGGCTAGAGACGGGAAGAAGACCATGAAATTAGCGTCTGAAATCAAGGACGTCGTTCACAGGATTGATAGCAAGTGTGAAATAATCAACACGGTGGATTTAAGTGTGGCAGTTCCTGAGATTGAAGGAGAATGTGTTGGATTGGAAAAGCCAGTTGAGAGATTAAAGACGAAGCTCTTCAAAGATGGGGTTCGATTGTTGGTAGTGACTGCTTACGGAGGTTGTGGAAAAACCACTCTGGCCGTAAGGTTTTGTCACGACAAGCAAGTCAAAAGTAAGTAACTAAAACCATTTTTCTGAAGAACATATGTTACAAATTTAAAAAGTTATGTGCAGTTCTTACAGATGCTTTCTGATTCATCCTTTTCACAGATAAATTTCAGAAAAACATACTTTTCCTCACTGTTTCAAGCAAACCAGATACGAAACTTATCTTAAAATCTATAATTCAAAGCCTCGGGAGGTTTGTAGTATCTGATTCTGTAAACGACGATGAGGCATTCCGGCATTTAGAACAACTGATGGGTCAATCGAGTCGAAATCCTGTATTGTTCGTGTTGGATGATGTTTGGGAAGGTCCTGAATCAAATAAGCTTCTTGAAAAGTTCTCGCGAATGCCTAACTGCAAAATTTTGGTCACCTCTAGAAACAAGTTTCCTGCATTTGGTGAGCCATATGCTTTGGAACCTTTGAGCGATGAGGATGCTAAGGAGCTGTTCCGTCGTGCGGCATCGTTGGATAACAGAACACGACAGTTCCCGGATGAACAAATTGTAGAAGCGGTAATTGACCTACACATTTGATACCCCCTCCAACCCTTTCCCATACCTGAAATGTAACTGAATTTTTGGATTACTGAATTGCAGATAGTGAAGGGTTGTAAGAAATGCCCACTTGCTCTGAAAGTGATTGCAAGATCACTTTCGGGTAGAACTGCACCGATTTGGAAAGCTACCGAGAGGAACATATCTAGAGGAGATTTTATCCTGGGTTCTGAGGAAACGCTTCTGGAGTGCCTCAAAAGCAGCTTAGATGCAGTCTCAGATGACAAGATGATACTCAAGGAGTGTTTCATGGACTTAGGTTCATTTCCTGAAGACCAGAGAATTCGTGTTGCTACGTTTATTGACATTTGTGCAGTGTTGTATGAACAAGATGAATGCGAAACATTGTCGAACCTTGATGAGCTCTTCACCCGGAATCTGGTTAACACTGTCTATTTGAGGTAAAATTCTGGGACTTCCGATTTGTGTTTGGTTTATGTTGATCTTGCTTCTTGACTATGTAGTTGATGATACTTGTAGTAAAAACTGTGTTTTATTATAGTTTTATATGCACGATATTGAAGATTGTTGGGAGGGAGTCCCACATTGGCTAATTCAAAGAATGATCACGGGTTTATAAGTACGGAATACATCTCAATTGGTATAGGTATGAGGTCTTTTGGGGAAACTAAAAGCAAAGCCACGAGAGTTTATGCTCAAAGTGGACAATATCATAGCATTGTGAAGAGTCGTGATTCTATCTTGTTAGACTCATTTGAAGAACTGTAAACATAAATTGATCGTTGATGTACGCCAAAAAGAGTATTACAAATTATCTCACTTAACGTTTGCTTTATGAAGAGAACAAAAAGGAACACTTAGAAGAAGCATATTCTAATATTGATTTATCCTCCTTTTGTTCTACGAAACAGTTTCTAAATAATGATTAACTCAATCTTAACGTATAAGTATCTGAGTATACACATAGCTCCAGCAAGAGCTGTGGTCTTGCTTGGTAACCATTTGTTTATGAATTTGAAGTTCTGTTGTCTTGTTTTGATTATTCTCCAGAAATGAAGCACATGAAGACGATTACTACAGCGAGTCCTACATTACACAGCACGATATACTTAGACAGTTGGCGGTTCATTTGACTAATGAGCAGCGCATAGACCAAAGAACAAGATTGTTTGTGGATATTAGCAGAAATGAATTCCCGGAATGGTGGTCTAAAAAAGAGATGCAACCCGTGAAAGCCCGCCTTTTATCCATAACAACAGGTCCCCCTGTGATCTCTCTCTCTCATGTTCTGATATTTCATATTCATTATCTCTTTGTTCGATCTAACGGTGAATGAGATGTTGATGGTGCAGATGAGATGTTCTCATCTTGTTGGCCTGACATGGAAGCGCCTGAAGTTGAGGTATTAATTCTTAATCCTGGGTCTAAAACTTACGAGTTGCCTGAGTTCGTGAAGCGAATGAATAGATTGAAAGCTCTGATAGTCAGGAATTACAGGTCGTTTCCGACTGAATTGACAAGTGGTTATCAAGTAATGAACTGTTTGTCAAGGCTAGAAAGAATCAGTCTCGAGCGAATTTCAATTCCTTCTTTTAGTAACCATAACCTGAAACCACTGTTACATCTGAAGAAGCTATCCTTCTTTATGTGCAAAGTTGATAGAGCTTTCACGAACTGCTCGATCCAGATCTCGTGTGTATTGCCCAACTTGCGCGAGATTTCCATAGATTTTTGCAACGATTTTGTGGCTCTCCCTATTGGACTATGTGAAATTGTGAATTTGGAGAAACTGAGCATTACAAACTGTCATGAATTATCATCGTTGCCTGAGGAACTTGGGAAGTTGATTAATCTAAAAACTCTAAGGCTTAGATCTTGTATTCATTTGGAGAAGTTGCCTGAATCAATCTCAATGCTCCATGAATTAGTGGATCTTGACATATCTCATTGTGTTGGCCTTACCAAACTTCCAGATAAGATTGGCAACTTGCAGAAGTTGGAAAAGCTTAATATGTGGAGCTGTCCTATCATACGCAAGCTTCCAGCATCACTAAGAAATCTAAAAAACTTGAGGAGTGTAGTTTGTGAAGAGGAGATAGCAAAGTGGCTTGATATTGTCTCACCTCGGCTTCGAAATCTCGTTACAGAACACAAGGAAGAAGTCAACTTGGATTGGCTATTAGCATGACTGCTTGTTCGTTTTCTTATACTCGAAATCGAACCCATTTGTTCGTTTTCTTTACGTTTTGTTCGATTCCTAGTGGGTTGGTTGACTTTGCAGAAAAGAGAGGTGTAGTTTGTTTAAGAGCCATTGGGTGCTAGAGTCTAAGAACAATTCTTCAACCATATCCTTCATACTCGAAATCGAACCGATATCCTTCCTTGTCTCCTGACCAAACCAGTTCTTGAACCAACCCACTAGGAATCAAACAAGAAATCCCTTTGGAAGGATATGGTTTTACTTAAGTGGCTTGCTTTGATCCCAAGGCATTTCTTCAACTTCTTCGTGCAAAGAAACTTTCCTTTATTGGTGATACTCAATACAGATAGGCTGTGGCTGAATTTGGAAGCTGTTGATATTTAAAATTTGTCAGGATTCAGGGGAAGAATTATCAAGCAAATCAAATCCGAACTGGTTATATGGGTTCATGTACAGGAATTATCTAGAGTAGAGATCCCAAACTGGCAACATATGGATGAAAGTTCGAAGTTTCTCGAGTTCGGGATAGTCGGGAATCAAACCGAACCATTAACTTTGGGATGATAACGGGTGTATTATCTATTGAGTTATGCTTGGATTGACTTGAAAATTTGAAGGTATGCTTTACTCTTTTTGAAACTCGATAACATGTATGCATATCTTTTAGTCATAATGATATTGCTAATTTGCCGCTAGCTCATAGCACAAAATTGAAACTCACAAACTTTCACTGTGATATTACGTTAAATCTCGGCACGATCGGAGTGTAAAATTTTAGGTTTTAGCAAAATGCTGGAAGGAAATTCAAACCGAAGGTAAAAGGAATATGCAAGATTTTGCATTGTTATCATTTTTGCAATGAAGTTTGAAGATCATCTCAATCATAGAGAGGTAGAAAAATTTGTTGCGTTTTGTATTGAAGTTGATTCTCGTTCTGTGATGTCCCACATTGGTTAGGGAGGAGAACAAAACACCCTAAGGGTGTGGAAACCTTCCTCTAGCGCGTTTTAAAGCCTTGAGAGGAAGTCCGAAAGGAAAAGCCCAAAGAGGACAATATCTGCTAGCGGTGGATCTAGGTTATTACATGTTCGTGATGTCCCACATTGGTTGGGGAGGAGAACAAAACACCCGAAGGGTGTGGAAACCTTCCTCCAGCAGACGCGTTTTAAAGCCTTGAGGGGAAGCCCGAAAGGGAAAGTCCAAAGAGGACAATATCTGTTAGCGGTGGATCTGGGTTGTTATACGTTCGAATTTATCTTTATATTTCGTTTCGTACGAATGTCTAACTTGTATTCTTTTGTTGCCTTTGTTTTAGAACAACGGATGTGAATTATGAAGATTTGAATCTCCAACTTTTAGAAAGAAAAAAAAAAGTATATACTAATTACCACTGAATCATGTTTTGTGTCAATTGCACGATCAATTGTACAACGACCTTATTCCCTCAATTTGTTGAAAATTCTACATCTGTACTACACGATGCAAGAAAACGACTTACTTTCGTCCTTTCGATTATGTAAAAAGAATGAGTCCATAATAGAATTTTTAATACTAAAATTGTGACGATAAGTATAAGGTTGATGTTATATTTTATTTTAGGACATGAAGTGCCATAATTAGTCCAAGCTTTTAATGAATGGGCACTCCTAAACTATGAAGAAAGCCATTATTTCTGACCTTTGGAGCCAAAATAATTCTATGTAGGGACATATGAGGTCAGATATAGGAACCCAATTAAATAAAAAAATAATATATATATATATATATATTCCTTTTTAAATTTGACATGATTTGAATAAAAAAAATACAAAAAATAGTGGCTTAAAAAGTTTTGACCACAATTAATTAATGTGTTCACCAATATTATTAGATAATATTATATTTAAATTAATGAATAAATATTTTACTCTTTATGGGTGGGTCAAAATATTATTATTTATATTATATTATATTCATTTTAATGAGATGGTTTTTTTTTTTTTTTTTTTTTTTTTTTTTTTTTTTTTTTTTTTTTTT